CACTATGATCCTTTAGATATATTTGTATACCGGATAGTTCAAAATTAGTTTTGTGCAGTGCTAAGTGCTAACTCTATGATCTTACTGTAATATGGTGAGAAAATCTAAGCCTAACTGTGGAGGGGAGGAAGAGGCTTTCTCTAATCTGCCAAACTGAGCTGCTTCCTAGCACCTTTGTGGATGGTTCATGAATAAAGCAGATCTCTTATTCTGTTTTAATGGTATATGCATTCAGTTTATTTTATGAATCTAATGGTTTTGCTCTAGAAAAATCTTCCCAGAGCTCTGCTGAGAGGGAACTCTGTGGACAGCTTCTGAGCATGGTGATACTGCATGGTTGCAGTGTCTTTCGGGGTTAGTTTACTGAATGTATTACTATAGTTTATATACAACTATAGCTTACAGTTTCTAAGACTTTGCCAGTTTTGAACTCCGAGGTCCATTCAGAACAGCTTTGCGCTGAACGTGAAGGTCTCTAGCTAGTCTGAAACCAAAGCCTTGAGCTGGAGCTCTGGTTTTCTGGCACTGCCGGGTCAGCGCTCGGTGCCTGACGCTGTCACACAGCTCCGCACCGCTGCGGAAAACCAGCCGGCGCTCGGGCTTGGAGCAGCTTCCGAGGAGATCTCAGCGGGGGGAAGCACCGTCTTTCTTCTAGCACTTCATCTGATTTTTATTTGTGAGAAAGGAGCCAACATCGCCCCAAACAGCAGCCTGCGTGTTCTGCAGGGGCGCTGAGCTGCTTTCCGATAGCAGCGGCCCCATCGGCTCGTGCCTGCAACAGCCCGGGAGCAGGTTTGGTGCAGGAGCTCCTGGAAAGAGGAAAGATGTCACATAGTGGAATCTGCGCAACAAGATGGCACGTTCGACCTATGCTTTTCTGCTTGATCTTCCTCCAGGACAGTGGAGGAAGCTCTGCTGGCAACATGGCTAAGAACAACTCGTGGTGTCGGTGCGGGCCGAGGGCACAAGGGAGGCCGGGTCCGGAGCACCCGCGGGGGTCTCCGGCCGAGGCAGAGGAGACTCTGCAATGTGCGGAATTCCTGGAGGCTCCGCACGGAGGCTGGAGGTCGGGGCTGGCCCTGTGCTGCCCGACATGTTCCCGGCTTTCCCGGGAGGCAGGAGGCAGCCCCATCCGGCTCTCACCCAACCTTTCATTCAGTTACCTCTATTTAAACTGAACCTTTCCGTTTAGACCTGGAAAGAGGTTCCATTTAGGTAACAGGGCTTGCAGTCAGCAAGTAACTAAGTCAGCTAGTTCGACAGGCAGGCCTGTCTTGTGGCATTCCTGCAGCAATCTGAGCAGAAGGGCCCAGGAGAAAGCACAGGCAGGAGGACCTGCAACCACACAGCCCAGGGAGACAGGAATTCCCAGGGGTTCTGACGAGTTGGAGAAACATCCTGGAAAAAGCAAGATACGGTTCAATGCAAAATACCGTGCTGGGGAGTAATCAGCTGAGCAAATAGGAAATAGCTGCTAAGGAGTAGCTCACATGCAAAGAATCTGAGAATGAGGAGGGCTCACAAGATGAGCATGAGTCACACAACTGTGTCCCTGGGGATGGGGAAGCAAGGCCTGTGCTTGGGATCATTGTGAGTCGTTGGGAGTCTTATAAATTGAGATTCATTGCCCTCTTCTTCAGCACTAGTGAGGCTTTGAGTAGGATGCTGCGTCCGCTCTCCTTTAGATACCACAGCTAAAGGAGGGCACAAGCCAGCCGGGAAAAAAGCTGGAGATGATCAGTACAATTTATTTGGAAATACACAAAACATGGGACTGGTAAGGAAAGAATTAAAATTTTGGGCCAGAAAATGTTGAGAGGAGGCTTCATAGGTCTTTAAGTATGTAAAATGCTGCTGCAGGAAACAAAAATGTCCCCTATACTCATTCAGAGCAGGGCAAGAAGATACAGACCAAACTTCAGCGAGGGAGAATTGACTTAGATTTTGCACAAATCTTTGCTCAAATCCCTGCATCACTACATTGTGCCCTGTCTATTCCAGCCTGAAATCATGCTCGGTGCTATGTAGTTGTCTGGTGAGCTCTATAAAAAGAGGCTGCTGTATAATAAGGCCTGTATATGAAGCACAGGGCCAAAACATAGGAAAAGAAAAGCTCAAGGAATACTTGTATCATAGGAAGCCCACTGGGTTTCGGTGTAGGGTTTGGCACTAGAGTCTTCCCTGATCCACTACTGTTAAACAGCTCTCGACTTGTCTTTTGTTCAGGTTTGACCTTTGTATAATAGCACCATATTTTTTTTTCTCATTCTTGGAGCTGTTGCCTGTATTCTCCCTTCCTACAGCCTATATTTCTGAGAGGTGCAAGGCATATTTAGTCACTTAGCCTCTGAACCTACTCCATGATAGGATTTCTTTAAATCTTCTAAATCTTCTTTTGGAATGTACCAGCTCAGCCTCAAAGCTCTTCTCAGATGCCTTTGTATTGGCCAGAAAAGCTGCGCTTGAGGCATTTGGGGCCAAAGTCTTTATAGATAATTTAAGGCAATGAGTCTTTGTGCAAGATGTCTGTGGAGGTGCCTTTCGGCCAAGGAATTTAACCTTTTTTTTTTCCTTTTTCCTATAACTATAGTCCACAGAGGGCTCCGGTGGTCCGGAGCTGCTTGGTCTCAAACTGGCCTGGCCAAATCCGTCTGGGTGCTCGTGGCCGTCTCCGCTCACCAGTGGCCTCTCCAAGGCCGCGCGGTGTTACAGCAGAAACAGCAAACGCTCTGTCCCTGTCAAAGCTCTTCCCTGCCTTTCCACCTCCAGTTTGGGACTCAACGAAAGCTTCCATGTGCACCTGAAGGGCAGCCGCCTGGAACAGCTTTCAGGTACTTGTGAAATGCGCAGTGGGTGGAGGTGTGAGAAGAGCCAGATAGGAGAGAGCAGAACTCCCTGTCTGCCTCCTCTAGGAGAGCCGTTTTGACTGTTTTCAGGAGGGTTGTTTTTTTTTTTTTTTAATTATTTTTTAATTTTTATTTATTATGGCATCCCGGTGTGCGAGGAGGCCCTGGGGTGTCCGCAGCTGGGGGCTTTTCAGTGCTGTGACGCTGTGGTGCCCCAGCAGTGCTTTTGTGCTGGGGAGTTGTCAACTCCAAGCCCTTCTTCTTGGCTCCGGGAAGACGTTCCGATAGTCTGATAGAGGGCAGGTCAAGTTTGCTTGATTAAAGAGGACAGTGTGTGGCAGGAACAAACCACTCTCCTTGTTTTCTTTAAGCACCAGGAATAGATAAGGATTCAGTGAAACCTGTTATTGTAATAAAAAGTCATTATCTCTTGACTAAATTAGCCTTTTAAACAGCGCATTACAGGAGTCAGTACTGACATCTGACTAGACTTTATATCAGCAAAAACCTTTCCATTCTCACCACAACTTTACCCAGTAACGAAGATGCGTTTGCAGTGCGGGCTGGTTTTAGACCTTACCTAGATCACTTGCCTCTCTGAAGAAGAAAAACACATGTAGTTTACCAGAAAAAAATGCTGCAAGTTGGCTAGAAATAGTCTGCGAATCAAACATGTCTTCTAAGGTTGGAGCCTGAGGAGCAAGAAGGGCGCTTGCTTTCTTTTACCTCCTGACGTTGTTCTGAAACCGGTGGCTCTGGGCCTGATCCCTGTGGCCCTGAGGAGCCTTTCGCCTCCGTGGAGGCCGGAAGGTCCCTCCGGCACCGCGGCCCGTCGGCCTCCGCAGCGGAGGCTGCCCCGGCCTCGCGGCCGAAAAGCGGCCCGCGCGTCCGGGCTGCGCAGGTAGCTGCCGAATTCACGTGGAGCTCTCAGTGGCGCGCTCATATTTCTGGTTAAGTTTAGGAATTCCAAAAATAATATCAGAGAGGAAAACTCAAAAGCTCATTGCTTTTGTGGCTTTTTTCACTGAGGCCGGTTTTAGGCCGTGTTGCCAATGATCAGTCTGTACTCTTTAATTCTGTACTAAATACATAAGCTGTCTCTGCTACAAATGATGTTTTTTTAGCCTCTCCGTATAGCCTGTTAAACAGTAGCTGGCCTATTTCCATCCCTAAAGAGAAACCTTTGGCATAAATAATATTGTCATTTGGATAGGCTAGACATACTTTTGCAAAGTGACCTTGTAAAAATATTGTCTGAGGTATGACTGAGCCTAAATTATATGACAGGGCGGTAGTATATTCTGGTCCCTCCTGAACCACCTGAAGTCAAACAAAAATCAGCAGAATGCGTCAGATTGAGGGGCTGAAGAAAACAGCCTATTTAGCTGCAGACCTTTATGTAAATTCTTAGTTTGGAAAAGCCAAACGTTGCGTCCTGGGGTTTTTCTGTCTGGTGATTTTAGCCTTGGAATAAAATGATAGGGAGCCCTAGGAGGGGCCTCTCCTGCCTGCACTGTGGGCGCAGGTCTGGCACCGCTGGGGTGGGATAATTTCTTCCTCTCCCTTTTACAGCTCTCAAAAGTTTTTCTGTGAGGTTCATTAGCAGGGAGCGAGCTAATGAATGTGGGTGCTCTGTGTAATTTGGGTGCTTTACCCCACAGCAGCTTGGCCTCTGTTGAAATGTGCAGGTTTCTGTTTCCTTCCAAGTTTTGAGGGCTGAGGTTAAAAGGAAGTTCTTCCTAATCTATAGAGCAGTGATAAATAATATAGCTATATATCCCATTTACTTATGCATCCCCGTGAATCATTCATTATTCAGTCTTGAATCCTTACTATAGCATCGTGTCAACTCTATTCCAATTCATAAAAATAAATTAGGGCAACCAATTGACAAACTTAGACGTACAAAGACCTGTCTGTGTTCATATTCCAGCATTAGAAATCACTGGTGTGCTTGCAGTGCAAACTTTAGAGTCGGTATAGACTGCAAAACTAAGGCAGAGTATAATAGAGTTGTAATAATTTCTGAAATGACTGGATGTATATTGAATTGCACATCGCTTTCTTGAACCACATTCATGAAATAAGGGTTGCAAATATTAGTGATGGAAATCTGGGTTTAGCAACTAACATTATTCCTGCCATTGCAGTGAAATAACTCAGCGATGAAAGAACCCAACCCCCAATGATCTGGGCCAGCTCATGAAGGTGTTTTGGTATAATCGGGAACTGCAAAAAAGAAGTAAGTGGGAAAACACGGGGTTGTTTGTCAGGAACGAGCGCCTCGGTGGCTGCGGCGAGGCTGGCGCGTGGTGGTCGCGCTGGCGCGGGCCGGGCGCCCCGTTACGCCGGGCCGCCCGCGAGTGGGAGCAGCAGGGCCAGGGCTGCTGCCACGCGGCCTCTCACGGGTGGGATGCAGTTTAATTGGGTTCAAGAGCTTCAGCTTGTAATGCTTGCGGAAAAGAAGCTGCAGAAATTAAAGGGTAATCTAAAGCTGTTCTGCTTTCTATTTAAGACTGAAGGTGAGCAAGTGTAGAACGTTCCAGACTGGACTTGCTATTATTTCCCATTTACTGGGTCATATGAATGTTATATCTTGTGTGCTGCAGCCACTGACTCACAGAGGCAAAAACAGGGACCATCACAGCAAAATCTTTTCCCATATTTTTTGTTGCATATTTGAATATATATATTTAAAAAAATGGAGAAATGCCAGGAACTGCCCTGTCTGCTGGATACTGAACTCGCAGGACAGAAATACCGGTGAGGTAACTGACTGCAAAGTAACGTGGAAAAGCAAGCGACTCCAGCGGGATCACCAGTGAATCGGGACAGTAGCCAAGGGGGCTGTGGGAGCCCAGCAGGCCGGGCTGGCCGCTCCGGTGGGTGCCTGTGGGCTCTGCGATGGGCCGAGGGCTCCCGCAGGGATGGGCTGCCCTTTCCCACCAGTCGGCAGGAGCCGCTCGCCGCTGGAAAGCAGGAGCTGCGGCCAAGCAGGGAGTGGGCGCTGCCAGCCCGCGGTGGGCCTGCGGGAACTAGTGCCATGGAGGTTTAGCCCCCTGCCTCTGTGCTTTAACTCAGAAGGGCAGGTAAATTTGGACTCATGCTCTATTTAGCTCATTATTGCAAAAATTAAAAAAAGAAATAGAAATAATTGAAAAAAAAAAGGTAGAGAAAGGTGGAGGAAAGCCAATGACCCACTACAATTTTAGCAGCAGGCTTTTTCATATAAACTAGTCATAGGTCAGCACTGCTATATGCCTCTTCAAGCTGGGGGAACTGGGGGCACAACTAGGAGTAATTGAGGAGAGTAAATTTCAGCCTCAAGTGCTGTTTTATTTGTACTGCATAGAAGCTGCTCTTTTATATATATATATATATATATATATATATAGCACAGCTCTGTAGCAATCATAGCACCTGTTCAGGCACCAGACAGCATTTGTTTCAGAGACCTCTAGCAGTTTAAGCCTTATTCCTTAGAGGTGCTTGTCCTTTGAGCTTAAGGAGCATTATTTGAATATGTGTATAGCTTCCTTACCCAAGGCGGGGGTGTCTCTGATAACATACTTACCTTTACTTTAAGGTGAGTAAAATGCAGCTCTGCTTGTGTCCCGGTGAAATGACAGGAAGTTTGACAATTCAGAGGATTTGACAGGCTCATAAGCAATAACGATTTTCAACACTTTTCACCCGAAACAATAAATAGAGGTGAGCTAGTATGTGTGTGCGCCAGCAGCTGTTCTTACCTTTGGCAACAGCAGTGCTCGTGAAGGGGTTTAGTGATGAAATAGTTGGGACCAGCCAGCCCGTGAATGGCCGGGTTTAGGAATGTCACCCCTCTTAACGCTGCTGCACCACGGAACAGCATCGGTCACTCAGGCTGAGAGGATCACGACAGGCCCCTACAGCAACTCACTTCACACCTCCGGGCTTTGTGCTTATCTCGAAGATTACACGCAGGACATTAAAGCAATACTGAGCAGTAATCTCGCCCTGACATTTGGGCCGCGTTACCCCACGATGCAGGGTTATGTAGCTCACACCTCAGCCCCTATCGAGAACCTTGGCAGTGGCAGGTTGATAAGGCCACCAGCCCCTGCTGAACTTGTTCTAAAAACACCACCCGCCAAGCGCTCCTCTGCTCATGCTTTCTAATGACCTTGCTCTCTTCTGCCCCCACTTCTTCAGCCAGGGCCCAAGGGGTAGCCCCGTGTCCCTGCAGCAGCAGAACTGCCCCAATGGCCGAGCCCTGGAGCACCCTATTTTCTGCAGGAAAAAAAATAGACCCTGGAAGGAAAAAGCTGTAGAAAGACTTTGATTTTCTCCTGGAAACTTAAATACTGTTAATTTTTAGGTACTAAAATAGTTGCAAACAACAGAATTTAAGTTTTTAATTGGATTGATTAGAACTTTAATCAATTAACCTATCAGCCTTCCTTACCAGTTAGTTCTTTTATAGTGCAAATGTTGCCAGAGGCAGCGGTAGTGCCTTGCAGCCCTTTAAGCAACCACCATGGTTCAATGCAAATCCTCTTTTGCTTAATGAGGTCAAGTTGGGAAAATAACATCCTCAACTTGTGTCTTATCCCGGCTCCCAAACTAGCCCTGGAAGTTGTATTCCAAGACAAGGAGAAACTAACTAAATCCTCAGATCCAACTGAAGTTGATTCAGGAAGGTGAGGATTATTCTAAGGCCTGTGCTCAAAGTCTGGACTTTTGCACGTGTTCCAGCTCATTCTGGGAGAGCGCAGCTCGGGACGGCACTGCTTCCTGCTGAAGAAGTCCTTAGGTACCTTATGTTTAGAAACAAAAAATATTTTACATCATAACTTCAAAACATGTCAAAGGACTTCCAATCTTAGGCCTACTTTAATGAATTTTGGTTCATTATCTTGAAAATATATGATAATTTTTGATTACCATATGCTCATTAAACCATGATAAGTGTCTATGGCAATGAAAATAAAACATCCAAAATGATTTTGATCTTTATTAAATATATATTTCTAAAAAAACTTTAAAGAGTGAGCTCGGACAACGCACTGAGAATATCTTCTTTACTGCACAACTTGAGAAACAAACGATAGCTCTGCTGCAAAACTAGACGACAGGTTCTTGAGAGATGCCTTTTCACACGTATTCCGTGGTATTTTTAGGAACTACGGCTAAAGAGAGCCAGTGCTTTACTGCAGTCACTTTTCAAGCCAGCCCTGGCTAGTTTTACATTCATTTTATCTTCTTTCCTTTTTTTCTCTCATTATCTTTTTGCTTTCTTCTCTTCTCCTCTTATTTACAGGATTCCTGGGATCGTAGATCTCGAACGTGTCTTCGTCCTGCACGCTGGCGTCTTTCACCTTCCTGCTTCTGTCCTCAAACTGAAGCACGTGGGACATCCTACAACAAAACAGATAAAACACAGCTCAGGTACCGTGATAGAACCGACCTCCTGCTTTGTAATTATGATGTGTCCGGAAGGAGTTTCTTTTGTGTAGAGCTGGAAAAGATCTGACCCTTACTTTCCTTGGTAGAGCCTAGCAGTATAAGATGACTTTTATTAAGAAGAAATCTTGAAAAACACAGCTAGAGTTTGTTCTACGGCGTGTTCCCTTAGGCACTGAATTATGTGGTCTTGCACCTTCTTCGGTTAGTGCATCTTCCCTAAGGGGCTGAGCAATTTTCCCAGGGCCTTTCTGGAGTCCTGCTGGTCTCCGTGGGCTTCCTGTGAGGGCTACGGGAACTGCCCACGGGGAGCACTTTGCACGGAAAGGGAGGGAGCAGGTCAGAACGGGAGGGCTTCAAAGCCTTGTGCTCCTTAGACAGCTGCATGTCACGCTTTCTATTCTTACATAACACACTGAACTGTTTTTTTTTTTATTTTTTTTTATTCAAATCAATGTTTTTCTGTCATTGATTAGAAATCTTCTCTGTACTGCTATTTTCCTGTTCCAGCAAATTCCCAGTAGCCTGAGAACATGACCATAATGTGGAGTGAGGAGCAGCTACACTGCCCTACTCATCACCCCTGGCCTTACTAGGTGAGGCCGAGGTGGCAATTAACCTGGAAGCTGTCAAAAAACACCCCAGTTTTAACCTGGACAAACAAAAATCTCACAGAAGGATTAGAACTGGGTGTGTGAGGAAAACAGAGACACACACACCCAGAAGCCTACAAGTTTACCAGCTGTAAACCTATTGATTTTTACTGACAACTTAGATACTTTCCCATATCACTGGATGTGGTTTTACTTTAAGTACTTGAGCTTGGTTAGAGGATTAACACTTTTCACCACAGCTGTTATATTTTCTATGAAAACCCTCTTGACTATTTAACAAGACTGTTGAATATACAGTAATAGTAAATCAGCTACACATAAACCAGCGGCAGGAGAGCAAGCATAACATTCATATGTTCAATTAAAAACAAAAATCTGCATTTGACATTTTTCATTGCATAGAAACATACAACTTAAGGAGGCTTTTCTGCTGGGTATCAATTACCTGCAAGTCTGAATTAATGAATTGCATAAATTTCTTTGGCTGACTTGAATGGGACAACTGCAAGTAGTGAGAACTGCACTGAACTGAGTCTAAGCAAATCTACCTGCAGATTGTTAAACCATCCTACAGTTTTTGTGAAATAGAATACCTGGGGAAAGAGTTTTGTCACAAGGGAAATATTGCTAGAGCCTGAAAAAAATCAGTATTCAAAACTCCTGAATTAAACATTTTTTTTCCCAAAGAGCTCAAGTGCAAATATTCACATAGAGAAAGCAAAAAGACTCAGTTACTGGTAATAACATAGTGCCATTGAAGAAATCAGATAAAACAGATAGCTACAGACAGCATGGCATCTATTTGAATGAACTGCAAATATCTTAAAAACAGTAGTTGTGACTTTCTCTATTTTCAGTGCAATCAAGCCCTGACTCGTGGGTTTTACTGAACACAAATGAGAGTGAGCCTGCATCTAATACAAGTCCTATAAGAATATTTCTTTAAGGTTCTTTCCAGCATATAGAACTTCAGTAGTTTATAATCCTGTACCTGCCAACACTTATTTTCCTAGTCATATCTACAACCCAGACAACATAATGTACCATCAGAGTGACTCATGCTTGCGTATTTGTAGTTTAATTAGAAAAACATTATTTCACAGTGCGGGGACTGAAGTAATTTATTTTAGTTAACATGCTTCATGCATTTGTCATATTCTTCTGAGCTTATTAAGGATGAGCCTTCGGTCTATTTTTTCAGAACTTACACCAAATCTCACTATTTTAGTATGAATTTAGAGACCCAAAAAGGTAAGAGTTGTTCGTTGCTGAGTGGTGCCACAGTGTCTATGTGAGGGTATCTGAGCGTACTCACACTTACCCATTTCATCAACTTGCATTTTTTGAAGAAGATAAAACACCCTTGCAAGCTACAAAAAGCAGGCATTAAAAATAAATAAATCTCCAATTCTTCACTCAGACCATAGAGTGCCTGGGAATCCGATGCAGTAGCTACAGCCCAAGCAGAGTTTACTCCTTTCCCAGAGCTGAAAGAAGTCACAGTCTCGGCCTCCTATTTATAACTTTCCACTGAGGTGCTCCCAGCTGTGATTAAAAATAAGCCAATATTAAGAAAATTTTTGGTATTCCCCAAATGAATTTCAGAAGCAGAATCTCATAGGTAAAGCAATATAAACAGAGACTGGAGTGAAGATTTCAAAAATATTTTCCTGATGTAAACTTAAGCTTATTTTTGCAAGTCACACATCCTCAGGGGACACCCATTTTGTATTTATCTAGACGGTACAACAGACTTCAGACTATTTTCAGAAAAGAGCTTCAAATTATTCCCTTCTATAAGGAACACAGGAAGTATCTAGTAACTATTTCCATGTGAATTAATTGAATTTATAATCGTTTTGCTCAAGCGCCTCCAACAAAACCCTTCTCTGGTACCACTAAACCCTTCCCTTCTGCAAAGGGCTAGCAATCCAGATGTGCAAATTTTAGAAGAAAAAGAATTTTAGAAGAAAAATAGAAGCAAGCTTTTAGAAGAGCAAATGCCCACAAAACTCTGTGTTTAACCGTTTTACCTGTCAGCGGTGGCAAGAGGCCCATGTCCTGCAGGCCGGACCTGGCCCTCCTCGCGTGACCTTACAGCTGGGAGGGCTCCTTTGTGTCCTGCCCACCCGACGCACCCAGCAGCCGTCGGAGCCATCCCGCGGGTACCGGATCCCGCGGGTACCGGATCCCGCGGTACCGGATCCCGCGGTACCGGATCCCGCGGTCAGCTGCATCCAGCGCCAGGCCCTGCACCACAACCACACACTGCTCCGGAGGGCGGATGAAACGAACCAAGCCAACAGAGTGCTTAAAATTCCCACTGTCAGAACTGTGAAAATCTTGGCTATCTTGGCTCTCCATCAGGATGTTTAGTACAGTCGAAGTGGAAACTAGTGTGTGTGAGAAGCTGTTCAGTGTTTCCTCCTGCCTTGCTACAGGCTGGCTAAAAGGGAAGAAAGGAGAAAAGGTGGAAACCAGAACTGGTGACTGTTTTGAGCCAGGTTTAACACCCCTTGCAGGTAACGTGCGACCTTCCTGTGCAGCCACGGGCCATGCTGAATATACTTAACAAATACACTAACCTCAGTATGCTTTAGCTACTGCTCTTTTCAAATTACATTCTGTCTGCAACTCACATTTTCCTGCAAAAACTGTGAACGGGTATGTTAAACTACAGACACCAACACAGAAACTGCTAAAATGTTTTCCTTCCTTCCCCCTCACACACAGAGGTGGCAGCGAGAAACGGGGCTCGCTCACAGATGAGAACAGAGGGGTGACTCCACAGATCAAAGCAGGGCCTCGCTCCCCCCGGGAACAGAATGTGAGCAGTTCTGGCACGATGACTCGCGGGCCCCTTCCAGCAGGGAAGCGGGTGGCACAGGAAGTGGGGAGACAGATGAGCAACAGAAGGCCCAAAAAGAAAAATAAATGGAAGAGGTAAAGAATAAAGAGAAGACTGGAATGAGAAACAAAAACAGAAGAGGAGACGGGCCAAAATGCAAACAAAGTGAAGAAAATCTCAAACGACGAAAGCAAGGAAAAAAATATAAATTCAGGCAAGAGAACAAGAGTAAGAGTACAGCAAAAAGGAATGCCAAGCCCACAAAACAACTTAAGGAAGAAATAAATTAATAAAATCCAATCTGGCTTCCACTGTTCCTCAGAAGCCTCTTTGCTGCAGCTGCCTTCACTGCTCTTTCCATAACAGAATCTAAGAGTTTTACAAATAACTGTTTACATACAAACCACAACAGGAGAGGAAACATGTTGATGTCTCTCCACAGTCATGCTGAAGTCAACTTCGTATTTAATTCTACCCCAAAAATTCAATGTTTCTGTGAATATGGTATCTGTTTAGGAATATGGTATTTAGACTGAATTTTAAGACTCAATATGATATTCTGCTTTAACTGTTGCTATAAATGCCACTTATAAGTCCTTTCATCCCCTGCAAAACTACAAATATTCTTGTAAATTCATTTCATTTCTGCATGACCTGAAAGTTGTATCTCAAAACATTTGGAGGAATGAACTCCTGGCAGGCTACTTCATTTCAGTATTCAGGGGGTGAGAACAATTAATACGTTGTTGCTGGTGACACACAGAGCAGAAAGCACCTCTTAGAAACCATTTCTAAGGAGGAAAACAGATAAAAAATCTAATTAAAAATATCCTATAAAGTCAGACTGTAGACTTTGGTTAACCTTGACAAGCCCCTTGAAACTGCATTAGAAATACTGGAGAATGAATGAAGTGGCTTCACTCCTCAGACTATCCAACAAGCTGTGGGTCCTCTGGAGTCCCCCCAGTCAATCATATATATTTTATCGTGGTGTAGGCCTACAGCATAAAACGATCAGAACGGAACTTGTGCAGCTCTTTCTAACATGATACTTTCTTGAAATGATTTACTCAAATGCCATGTTCTCAGCTTTATCTCAAAATATTTGCTGTAAAGATAATAAAGGAGGAATAGTTTCAGGAAGTATGGAATTCCCTTGTTACCAAATCAGCAAGTACATCAGTGGTTGCAAAACTGACAACAAAGCAAATTGTCCTTGATAAAGAGTAGTGCAACAGAACATCCTTTTCTTCCATTGCTTAATGCATTGCTAAACATTTTTCCTCTTAAAAAGATTTAATTGCAAGTAACTAAGGGAAAAATCAACTTAACTACAAAAAAAGGCTCATCCAATGCAAAAAATACATCAAGATTGAGGGAAGGGTTACTGGTTTTGTCGCCGTACCGGAATCAGAAATACGTCATACCAAGATGACTACGCTTTTCAGGAATTGACTATTTTTCCACACCAAATTCAGTTATCCTGTTTCTAAGCGCTTCCTGCCCAGGAGCAGCGGATTGCC